TTCCCCGGTTCTCCCTCACCTTTCCTCCACCCTCCTGCCATTAATTTCTTTATAATTAGTAACAAATGCAAAAGAGAATGAAGATTCACCTTCATTTCATAGCTATCCAAAAGATATTTGGCATGGAATTTTAAGTTCTTACAGGCCTACCTTCAGGTCTGAAAATGAATTATGAGAGGTTATTCAGAGTTATCTAGAATTATTTTACAGCAGGTAGAAATGTTTTAAAGCATTTAAACCCTATAGAAGAAAAAAAGCATTTTCTGGGTTAAATTGGTAAGCCGGGCCAAATCGCTTATTGTTAGTACCAGCTACCAATCCTCCGTCTTTCCTTGTGGAAACCCTGCCCCATCCTGTGCCTTCCTCGCCGCTGCTGCCGTGTTTGATCCCACTGTTACAGACCTCTGTCAGTTCCACCACTGAGGGGCTACTCTTTGTGGCTGGCCCTCCACCAGGCAGGATGACCTGCTCTGGGGACTGGTCCCTCCTGATACCATGTCCAAAGGCTTTGAGACGGAGTCACCACCCTCATTTCCAAGGAGCATTCTGGGTGTACTGTTTGTTCTTCTGGCAATCCGTGGTCTAGATAGTGTTCTTGGCCAGCACTGCGATTCAAAGGCGCCCTTTCTTCTCCACTCGCCCATCATCACTGCCCAGCTTCCACGTGAATATGAAATCATTGAAAACACCGTAACTTGGCCAGGCCCACGTGAGTCCTCAAAGTGAAGTCTATGCTCTTGAACAGTTAAAAAAACGTCCTTTGCAGCAGAGTTGCCCAGTGCAGCACATCCTGGCATTTCTTGACTGCTGCCAGGATGCTGGTTATGATCCAAGTAAGATGAAACCCTTAATAACTTAAATCCTCCCTCCGTCTAGCATGATGCTGACTTTTGGTTCGGTTGTGGAAGAAAGACCCGGAGATTTGCTTTCGTAAAGATTGTGGCCGAGAAAACCCCAAACCTTATGGAGCAGTTCATGTCTTGCATAGTAGGGCTGTGGTGGGTCAGAATGGACTCGATGGGTCTGATTCGATGGTGCTCCCTATCCTTACTTTCCCCCAGATACCATTTACCCAGTTCCCCCTAGTGTTCACATGTTTCCCACTAAACTACCGTGATCTTAGCTCAAGATGTTTGTGTGAATATAGTACCAGTAACTGATCCACCTTGCTGGGGTGCTGAACGGGTTTCAGTGGTGCTTGCAGACTCAGATGGGCCAGGAAGAAAGGCCTGGGGTTCGACGTCTGACAGCCATAGGCATCACAAGAGTCCGACTGACGGTGGTGGCGGTGGCTCAGGGATCCGGCAGCAATCTTCTGTTCCATTGAGACTGGCGTCGCCATGGGTCAGGCCAACTGGAAGGTAGCTGACAACAGTTGATTGCCCTCCGGGTCCCTGCTGCTGCTGCTGCTGCTGCAGGCTTGGGAACCCCACTGGGAGCCGCTGCTCCAGGGCTTCCCTCTCAGAAGCCCGAGGGCACGTTCGAACACAGACTGAAAGCAGTTGGTTGCTCCAGATCTCTGTACAGACATTACCGCTACTACCTTTTTAAATGTTTGTAGAAATATAAATACTTTCTGATTGTTTCTATTTGTGTTTCTATTTTTGTAAGTCCCTTTCAACACTCTGTAGCCCCAAGAGAGCCAGATGCGTCCTCTCCAGATTATTCCCGGAAGACTGATTTCTCAGCTGTATTGCCGACTGCAGGCACCAGCCAAATTCTGCCCACCCATGGCTCGTCCAAGTTCAAGTAAGTTGCTCTTGGGCTGTGGTCTCCTCTTCTGTAGAACTGGAAGTATCTGAAGGGTCTAACCCTTTGAGCAGAGGGCCTACGTTGAGGCAGCTGCCAGGCAGGGTGTTTTAAATTTTTAAAATTTTATCTTAGTAGTTTGCTGATTTCATCTAATCCAGGCAGTCCCTGGATTCTGAAGGGTTCTGTTCCAGCAATTTTGTCTTGAGGTGGATCCTGACGTCAGTGGAATACCTCCTTTCACACAAACAACTGGGGCTTCTTAAGGTCTAGAATGCTCAGTGAGATCCCTGGATCGGCCTGGTCAGCATTGAAGCTGGCCCCAGTGTGGTCACAAGAGAGTCATTAGGCACATGTGCGGTTCAGTTGTCTTAAGATGTCAGAGTGGAATTGCTATTCAACCCCGGCCCACATTTCATGGTGGGCCAGGCCATACCCCGCCATGTGGCAGTGTGCTGAACAGGAAGTCATAAAATCAACATCTGCTAGCCAGCGTCTGAGAATAAGGTGACCAGATTTTAACATTGGTAAAGCGTGACAAAAGCGGGACACCACTGATCAAACTCATATCCTGGCGAAATAGCCACACGGCAGCCGGAAACCGTCTACCCTAGCTTGTCGTGCATTCTTTCCAAAAATCGGGACTTTTTAAAAATGCTGCAGGATGCGGGGGAAAAATTGTTAAAAATCGGGACTGTCCCTCCAGAAGCGGTACGTCTGGTCACCTTAGAATAATACCATCAGCAGAGTGCACACTGCAACGTTGTATGTTGTACATATTACTCATGATAAGATCACACACACACACACACACACACACACACACACACACACAAGAACCCCAAAATGGTCAGTTGGAAGTGTGGCTCATGATAACTTAAATACAGAGTAAGTGGGGAAATATCCGAACAATACCTTATTCTTATGGATAAGTGAATTTAGACAGTCTGTAACTTGTGCTAGAATGTATGTGTGGTGGAGTGAAGTTTCTTAATATGGCTTTTCTACCCAAGTCTCTGTAACTGCCCCCAAGTGGTGGGGTGGAATATGCAAACAGGGCATGTGTGCCGCTAACAGAGGGGCGTGGTCAGTTTTCTTACCACCCCAACCTCCCCACCCTGCTATAAGGATGAGCCATCTCTGAAGCAGGAGAGAGAAAGAAAGCCCAGGACCCTCAGAAGAGCACCTTCCAGATCTGTCTGGATTGGTGGAGGCTGAGACCTGGGACACCAAAGGCCATGCTTGGAGACCAGGGAACAGAACAAGAGAAGCAGCACGGAGGCCCTGGGACTGTGAGACAGAGCGACAGGCAGGCTCCCCGCCCCATAGAGGCAGGAGCCCAGGGATCAGGAGACTGAGAGGCCGAGGACCAGAGAGCCACTTGGATGGGCTGAGGAGAGGTGTTGCTCTGGACGAATGACTGTAGCCTTACTGTCTGCTGCTCCTGACTTGTCACCGGTGACCTATTGACTTCCCTAAGAACCCCTTATAATAGTGAGTATCATCTGTGAGTTATGAGTGACCGTTGCAGCAAATTATTGAACCCAGCGTAGAAGGAGAGTGCTGGCAGAAGAATGGCTGGTGTCCGAGTGAGTGAAGAGGGATGGAGTGGTGGGGGCATGGCTGACACCGACCGCTTGGCAATAGGGAGGCCAGAGGAGGTCCGATATGGTCCCCACTGGTCATCTCTTGCCATGTGCATTTATTTATCACACATGATTTTTTACTGTAAACTCCTTAAGTCTCTTTATTCAAGGAAAGCTGGCGACTGTCCTACAAAGCAATGAATCCCAAACCCACTGTCCTCAAGCCCATCTGACCCACAGTGACCTGGTGTAGCGTGCCTGAAGCTGTAACTCTTTAAGGAGCTCATAGCCCCTGCTCTCTTCCAAGGACGAGGAGTGCAAGGCTTCCCTGACAGTGTCCCTGGGCCCCACAGGGCAGTCCTGCTCTCGCTACCCTGGAATTGATGCTGCCTCGTAGCAGCCCTGTAGGACAGGACAGAACTGGCCCTGTGGGTTTCGGGACTGTAACTCTTTATGGGAGTCAAAAGTCCCATTTTTCTGCTACAGAGTGTCTGGAGGTTTCGAACTGACCTTGCTCGATGTATAAGCACTACATCACCAGGGCTCCAGCCACAGGGCAATGGAGACCTACACTTTCTACTGGACAGACGTAGTTTGTCTACTAACTAGAGTCTACAAATGTCCATGTCTGTCCCTTACTCAACAGTGCACACATTCTAACAAAGGTCTAGAATTAAATGATTCAGAGTTGGACCGTTCAGCAGGGCTTCATTGAAAGCAGATACAGAGCGCTTTTTTATTTATTTTCAGCTTTTGGACAATTTCCCCAGGAATCGGTTCAGCCCTAGTCACATGCAACACCCCCATCCCCACCTCTCCACCCCCATACATTTTATCTAACCCGGGGAAAGAAACCCCTGGGTGATACCAAGGGTTATGGAGCTCAGCCACTAACAGGAAAGTAGAGGTTCAAGTCCACCCTGAGGTGTTTGTTGCCGAAGAAAGACCTGACAATCAACTTCCAAAAGAGTCGGACCTAAAAACCCTGCGGCGTACAATGCTACTCCATCGCACACAGGGCCATCCTGAACAGAACCAATTAATGCTGACTATTTGATTTTTAGGAAGTGAATAGACCTTTGTGATCCAAGTGAGCTTTTATAAAGGACAGAAGAAGTTTCAGGTTTTACCCAGGCACCCTCAGTGCACTTCACCCCCACACATGGAAACCTAAGGCCAGAGAAAACTCCGGCATGGCCAAGGAGCAGCTGGAAAAGAGGGCCGTGGGCTTCGGATTCTGACTTTTTCAGGGCCCTCTGCTGGAAGACGTGCTCAAAGGCACTGGTTGACCCATTGGCTGAATTAAGCTCACCTGACTTAGATTGGGCCCCTCCAAGTGTACTGTCTTTCTGTATCAAAGGCCTGAATGTGTGCATGCCCTCTAGCCTTAATCGGTTTCCAACGTCCTCTAAAGGGGAAAGGGAGGCTTTAGTATGTAGAGCAGTGGTTCCCAACCTTCCTAATGCTGCGACCCTTTAATACAGTTCCTCATGTTGTGATGACCCCCAACCATAAAACTATTTTCGTTGCTTCTTCATCACTGTCATTTTGCTGCTGTTCTGAATCAGGCAACCCCTGTGAAAGGGTCGTTCAACCCCCAAAGGGTTTTAGACCCACAGGTTGAGAACCGCTGATATAGAGGGACAATAGCTACCTAACAGACCCAAAGCTAAAAACGCAAACCCACTGCCATTGAGTCAACCAACCCGCAGTACAGAGGAGAACTACCCCTCTGCATTTCTGAGACTTAAAACAAAAATCTTTCTGAGGGCAGATGGCTTCATCTTTCCCCTGAGGAACAATGGTGGGTTTGAACTGCTGGCCTTGTGGTTAGCAGCCCAGCGCATAACCCACTGTGCCTCAGAGTGCCCTCCCCGCCACTAGTTACCCAGTCCCCCTGTTCAGAACGGAGCAGGACAGGCTGGGGGAGGGTGGAGGCGTCAAGAAGAAGGTAAAGCCCAGCAAGTTGGCAACCACAAAATAGGCTGGTGTGTTTTCCTCCAGAAGTTGAGAAATGTCTTCCTAAAAGATTTCACACCACATCAGTATCATGGTATGCTAGATCCAGTTTTCCCAACACCAAATTGAGGCTGTCTCTTGTTCCTAGGAATGTTTGAAATGGTAGCTTGGGGTAGAAAAGGCTTCCAAGACAGGGGAAAGTGTAATGGGAGAATGTGAAATCCTTTACGGATGTTTATAGGGTTTGAGTCCAGGCTTTCTATAAATATACCCTTTTAAAAGCAGCGGTACATGTTCTTATTAAACATCCAGTTCTATAAACTGGAATCCTCCCCTCTTCAGTTTCCCGGTGGTTGCCATGGGGCTCCAGGTGGTTCCCTCTGATAAAGATGGGAGTTAGGCACTGTTTTACATGGTTGGCATGGTGGTTGGTATTAAGTTTGCAGCAAAGATTAACCGAAGCCAGGCCAGAGAGAAGAACACGAGAAGTTTATTCTGAGCTTCCCAGGAGGGATTCACAGACTCCAGCAGGGAGTCTGAGAATCTGAGCTGCCAGGGCGGGAGAGGCAGAGACGGGAGCCCTGAACTCCCGGACTAACTCCAAGGGTCCCCATTGGGGGGGTGGGGGGGCGGGGAAGTCCTGCTTCTCTGTAGTGGAGAGCCGGGTTTTAGCTGGTCAGGGGGAGGGTAAGGCAATAAAGGGGGTGGGCAGATACCCCAGGTGGGCAACTAAAGAGGAAGGGGAGAGGATTCTCAGCTTTGGGGGCTCTAAATGGGTCTCTGTCCACACAAATTCTCAGGCAGGGTGGTTCTTTGATCAGTTCGGTTTGGCGCCAAGGCACATGGCTCATTGATTTGTGGCCCCCTGGTCCGATCAGGGCTGGCAGGCATTCCTCCTCTGACCGGTGCCTGACCCAGCATTACAGTTGGGTTTGCCATAGAAAAGAGAGCAGGGTATCTGAGCTCTCTGTCTTTCAGCCTTGTGATGCTGAAAATGGGGTCCCAGAGGTCTCTTGGGACGTAGGAGAGAGGGAGCTTTGTTTTGAGAGTCTGCCTTTGCTCCTTGTTCCATGTTACCAGTGGTCCATCCTTGGACAGGAAGGAAGGGGGGATGGCAAGGGACCAAGCCTTCACCGAGATGTTCCATCAGGGCCCAACCTGGTGTGCCGCCCTGGATGACCAGGGATGAGGAATGGGTGTGTGAATGGTGTGGTCGCAGCAACTGACCTCTGACTCACAAGCAGGGAGGAGAATCAAACTCAACGTCAGCCCAGGGCTGAATCCCATGAGGCAGGGCTAACACATGCCTGCGCGCACACTAGCCTTCTTCACCCATACTGACACCAGCATCCCTTCCCAAGGCACTCTACTTCTCTGCTGGGTTTTAAAATGCACTGCAGTGTAAGTACAGAACTCACAGACAGCACTCAAGATTGTGGAGTTTATTAGGGAAATTAACAGGTTACAAGTCAGGGTTAGAAATGCTCAGGAGACAGTTCTTTCCCCCCCCGCCCCCCCGTTATTCATTTGTTTTATTCAGTCAGTATTCAGTAAGGAGCCTTGATGATGTCGTGGTTACACACAGGGCTATGATCCGCAAGGTCAGTGGTTTGGAGCCACGAGGCTCCCATGGAAAGTTACAATCTTAGTAACCCACAGGGGCAGTTCTACCCTGAGTTGGCATGGACTAGATAGCAGTGAGTTTTTTTTTAATTTGGTAATGTATAGGCAATGAACTATAGGAGGTTACAAAAGAAGTTATCTTTTTAAAATTTTTCTTGCATATTTATATATTTTCCCCATAGACCTCCAATATAGCAACTAAAAGCTTCCATTGTTTCCCTTTATTTTTATTTTTTAACCTTTTTTTAGGGGCTCATACAACTCTTTTGGTCAAAAGCACCTCTTCTCAGCCATGCAGGAGGGATACCTTTCTAGTCCTCAGCCTTTCAACCATGTGGCCTCTTGGCCTCTGCCCTGCTTGAGCGAGTGTTACTTGGCTCTTTTGATATCACCGATAAATGCCCAAAGGGCGTGCCACTCTACTGGCAGCTTCAGCCGGAAGGCACTCAGCTGGAGCGCTGTGAGTCAGCAAACCTAGTTCCCCTGATCGAGTGCCCGGAGGCGCCTACTCCGCAAGTGAGCCTCCTGTCCGAAGGCTTTGCTCCCTCCACTGCCTGGGGAAGCCCACCCACTACGGTGTCTCATGCTGTGGCTCTTGGCTCTGCTGCCTCTGTGTGTGCTTCTGGTCTCACGTCTCCCGGATCAAGGAGGTTTAGCACTCACTCAAGAACCTCAGGGCTCAGAGGACACACTTCTTTCTTGATGGCAGCGAGGCCCACCCATTCCTGTTTCTTGGCTGGCTCATTTTAAACCCACTGGGAAGACAAAATTGTCGAATCCCTACTTTAGACTCTCAGACGCCTTACAGGCATGGCCCCACCCAGGCACTCAGTGGGCATTACACAGACAGTGACTGGAAGAGGCAGAGTAGTCGTCCACTGCACCCGGGTGCACCGACATGGGAGGAGCCAGTGAGATCTGCCTGCCCAGCAAGGAATGCCCAATCTGGCCACGTCCCTTTCAATAACCAATCAGTGGTCTCTGAGCCGGCATTCTACTAGCTGCCTCCCTTCCCAGTACCTCTCCCCTGCACCCGAATGTCACCAGGTCCATCTCTCAGAGTGGCTCACTCCGTTCCAGGAGTCCACTGATGACCATTTCTTCAAGGCGGGAGACCAGTCCCTTTAGGAGTTCACTTCCTGTCTCAGTTACCTAGTGCCGTCCTCACAACTAAATGCCAGTTTACTGTCTGACGGTTGTGGAAGCAAGAAGTCCCAATCTTGGGACGAGCTCCAAGGAGGAGACTGCCCTGTGGGTGTTACTTAACTCATAGACCGGTCCATGAGTGGCTCGTCCCCTGCACATGCCTTAGTGTGTCATTCAAAAGGAAGTAGGTTTAGGACCCATTCTACTCGGGAGTGGCCTCATTAACATATTTCCAAGCAATGCCAGCTTTTAGGGGTTAGCACTTCCATATAGCTTTGTTTTTGTTGTTGTTTTTAAATAATGACTTTATTGCTTTTTTGGTACCTAAGTAACATATTAATCATAGGAGAATCAGAAACTAGTGAGTAGCAGTAGTTGAAAGATATTGTCTGCAATCCACCCTTTAGTAATATTGTTGTTGCTAGGTGCTGACCCATAGGGACCCTCTGCACAACAGAGTGAAACACCGCACGGTCCCGCACCACCCTCACAATGCTTCCTATGCTGAGCCCATTCTTGCAGCCACCGTGTCAGTCCGTCTCCTGGAGGGCCTGCCTCTCTCTCTCTGCTCCTCTACTGCACCAAGCACGATGGGGTCCTGACATGTCCAAAGTACGTGAGACGAAGTCTTGCCATCCTTGCTTCTAAGTAGCACTCTGGCCGGGCTTCTTCCAAGAGAGACCTGCCTGTCCGTGTAGCTGTCCACAGTCCTTTCAGTGTTCTTCTCCAGCACCTCAGTGCAAATGCAGCCGCCCTTCTGCAGTCTGTCTTCGTCAGTGCCCACCTTTCTCGTGCTTCTGAGGCCATTGACAGTACCATGGCCTGGGGCAGGCACGCCTGAGTCCTCAAAGTAATATCCTGGCTTTTCAATACTCTGCACAGGTCTTGTGCAGATTTACCCAATGCAATGCGTCTTACACTTCAGTAATCATCATATGCATATGTATATATGCACACCCACGCAAAAGAGTTTATATATTGTATATACACATAAAAGTAGATCATATGCCATATTGAATTTAGGCCCTGCTCTATTCATCACCTTTTTTTTGGGGTGGTCTGGACAGGGGGATGTGGGCTGGAGGCTGGTGGGGGTGAGGTGTTGTCAGGGACACAATTCAATCCACAGCCCTTCCGCTTTGTGCTGAACTCTCTGGAATGAGTCTTCGAAGCTGTGATGTGAGATCAAAGTGCAGTGAGGTCGAGTAGGGTGGACCCCAATCAGGGACAGACACAAAGACACCCACGGAGGGGAGGTGGCCCTGGGAAGACAGAGGCCGAGGTCAGCGTGATCTATCAGCAAGGACACAAAGCTCCCCGGCCGTCACCTGAGGCCGGGAGAGAGACATGCAGAGAAGGCCGCCCCTCACAGCTCCCCGAGGAGCCCACACACAGACACGCTGAGCTGTGCCCCAGGCCTCCAGAACCATGGGGGGCTGCAGACCCTCCCTTCTCTTCATCACTGCCCTACACAGGGAGGGGAGGCGGCAGCTTAGAGAGCTTCAGAGAAGAAGCACCGATTGGTTGCAGTCATACAGAAGGGCTGGGGAGTGGGGGTGGGGGGTGGACTGCATTTGAACCAAATTCTGTAGGCGCGAAGCCCCCACTGTTTCCCCTAAGATGCTGCCCGCCTCATGAGAAGACGTCCTCATGCGATGGGGATGGTGTTCATTCCGAGCCCTGCTGATACAGTGGGTTACACCCTGCGCTGGTAACCACAGTCGGCAGTTCGAAACGACCAGCCGCTCCATGGAAGACAGAGGAGGCTTTCTAATCCCCGCCCTGCCCCCCCCACCACCACCAAGAGTGACCACCCAGGCAACCCACAGAGGCAGTCCTACCCTGTGCTCTGGGCCTTGCTGAGTCAGCGCTGCTTCGAAAGCAGTGCGTCAGCCCGGGTCGCTTGGCACGAGGTTAAGTTTCAAACCATAGAAAGCCAGCATGGAATAGGAATTCCCAAGTGCCCTATCACACCATAAAGATTCTTATCCTTTGTTTAGATATGGCAGATTTCCGGAAGATTTTTGCAAAAGCAAAGCATATAGTCATCCTGACAGGGGCGGGTGTTAGTGCGGAGAGTGGAGTCCCGACCTTCAGAGGACCCGGAGGCTACTGGCGAAAATGGCAAGCTCAGGTGAGCAGTGTTTCCAGGTGGGATCACAGAGCTTGACCTTGAGTCTGTGTCCATGCCTGCAACCTGGGGGTGGGGGTGGCTTGAAATGCAGTCTGCCCCTTTGTCCTGTTCACTGCGGCACAGGACAAGTCCGCCCTGGCTGGGACAGGGCAGCCCAGCCAGCGGGCTCCCCTTCCTCTCCAGGCTGGGGGCTCACCTGTATTCACCCGAGAGTGAGGTTTCTTCTCGCCATTGCACCCGAGAGGCAGCATCATTCATTCCTGTTTCTAAAGATAATTGAGATGGAGTATTACCCATTTGAAAATATTCATCTTTTCAGGTTAAAACTGTAAAGTCGAATTGTCAAAGGCTCAGAGCTTAATGTTCATAATGTTCAAATTCCAGGTGGGGGTGGATCTTTTTATTTTAATCCCATTTTTATGGAGATCAGTAGGTAGATAGCTGTTGTGCCAATGTTAGGTGTATGTCACTGAGCTTTGACAAATGTCTACCGTTGTATCACCACCCCCACACTCTTAATAGAGACTATTTCTGTCCCTCCAGAATAATCCCTTGTGGCCTGCTCTCTTTGTCAACCACTGGAGTTTCAGAGGACAGAGACGTGGGTCTGCTCGGCCCCAGCTCCCTGAATAGTCTGGCACATCCTAGTGCTTAATAGGTTTGCATTGCCTGGAAGATTACTTCAATACATGCCTTCCAATTTAGTGGGCAATTTAGTATTGAGGGAAGAGTTTGTGAAACTGTTCCTCGCTTGAGGTCTCAAGCTAGTAGTAATTGTTGAGCATGACCTGCGCTCCAGGTCAGGCCTGTGGACGCAGATGTTCAGAGGGAAGGAGCGAGAGGAGCAGAGGGCCATTAGGATACCGCCACAAAGAGGGGCCAGCACAGAGTGGGCCCGATTAAGAGGCAGCCACTGGGCTGAGGTAGAAGGGAGGGTGTGGAGGGAGAGCCCTGTAGAAGAAACCGGGATGGGGGGCACTCAGAGTTTGTGGGGAGGCAAAGAAGCCAAGGGAATGTGTTTGACTCCAGCCACTTTCCAGGGACACAAGCCAGTGTGCACGTGCACGCAGGAGCATTCTCAGTGAGGAGGGCTGGGGTGAAGGAGCCACAGTGTGGACTATCCGTGCCCCCAGCAAAGGATGGCATCATCCATCACCCACTGGGAGGGGGAAGAGGGGCCTGTGACATAAAACCCAGGACATCCAAGCTCACTGAGGGAACGCACATTTGACCGAGAAGCAGGATGTTTCTTCAAGACGGTTCTCTCAAGGTAGAATTGCTCACAACTTGGCAGGGTTTGATAGAAGTACACATGCCTCTGTGACACCCCTGCCCAATGGAGAGAGAGAACATTCTGGGCACCGCTGAGCTTCCCTCGCTCTGCCCAGCCCCGGCCAGCCAGGGCTTAGCTCTGGGTTGCCCTAAGTGAGACTTCTCATGCCTACAAGGGAAGCTGTGCTTTAATATAGAGCATATTTTGTATATTCTGTTAATATAACAGTATTTTGGTTTTGTGCACGTATGTGTACCTATGTGTGTGTGTGTATCCCTAACCAAACCGGATGCCATCAAATGGAGTCCGACTCCTTTAGCACAGCACAGGCTGCCTTGCTCCTATAGCACGGCACAGGCTGCCTCGCTCCTATAGCACAGCACAGGCTGCCTCGCTCCTATAGCACGGCACAGTCTGCCTCGCTCCTATAGCACCACATAGGGTTTCCAGGCTGTAATCGGAAGGCTTTCTCACGTGGAGCAGCTGGGGGGTTCAAACTGCCAACTTTTGTGGTCGCAGCCCAGCGCTTCATTTCGGAGCCATCAAGGTCCTTATGTAGATGAGGGTCCTCGTATATACACGAGGGCTTCCACAAATTCATGGAAAATGGAATGGGATGATAATGGATTTTCCCCATAAATCACTCACCTCGCTGCCCCCTGGTCGATGCCCACACACCGTGACTCTTACCCTGGTGAGTTTCCGAGACAGTAACTCTTGACAGGGAGTGGAAAGTCCTGCCTTTCTCCGGAGGAGTGGCCGGTGGTTTTGAACGGTAACCGCGACCCACCAGGGCTCCTATCTGCTGTTATGGCTAATGAGTAAAACTGAGCTCCTAACTGTGCTCAGTTGGGCATGTTGTATTTCACACGTTCACCTCAGGGGACCTCAAATGAGATTTGCATACATTTGGGGGCTACCTAGAAAAGTGCGTTCCAGCGCCTTTCTGTATCACTTTACTGCACGTGGGAGGAGCCCTGGTGGGGAAGTGGTGCAGCGTTGGGCTGCTGTTTGCATGGTCAGCAGTTCGAAACCACCAGCAGCTTCTCAAGAGAAAGCCTGGGCTTTCTACTCCCATCCACAGTTACCTTCTCGGAAACGCACGGGGGCGGCTATGCGTCAGCACTGCCTCGGCGGCAGTGACTCTCACTCCGGGTGCATAACTTGCTGGCGGGGTCAGCGGGACAGGTTCTGTGACAATTAGCAAAGTGAGAAGTGCTCTTCCTGTGGTCCTCCAGCCCCATGCCACCCTGAGATTGGGACGCAGGTTCCAGGTCCTGCCTGCAGACACCTGCTTCACATTAAAGCTGCTGTGTGTCCCAGCGAGCACCCTCCCCACACGGCCCTTGTAGAAAACAAGGAGCTCCCCCAGTTTCCCAGAGTTCAGCCCCTTGACCCCGCTCCTCTCTCCCCCAGGACCTGGCTACTCCTCAGGCCTTTGCCCGAAACCCATCCCGGGTGTGGGAGTTCTACCACTACCGGCGGGAGGTCATGCAGAGCAAGGACCCGAACCCAGGGCACCTGGCCATCGCCCAGTGTGAGGCCCGTCTGCACGGGCAGGGCCGGAGGGTGCTGGTCATCACCCAGAACATCGACGAGCTGCACCGCAAGGCCGGCACCAAGAACCTTCTGGAAATCCATGGTGAGGGAGGGCCGGGCTTGAGCCCACGCTGGCCCCTTCTCTTCCACCCACAGGGTGCTGGTGGCATTCCGTAGTGCCCTTTGCCCCTTGGGCAGCCACCTCAGGGGACGGGAGGCCCTCGTGGCTCGCTGCCTCTCTAGTCACTTACCCTTTGCTGCATGCTCCTCATTTAGTGTGTGGTCCCACAGCCAGCCTCCTGGGCACCCCCCTGGGAGCTCACTGAAAACGCACCCCGCCCAGACCCGGGAGGCAGAACCCGCACTGCAACTAGAGGTGACGCGCATGCAGGGGACACTTGCACAGCTCTGGTCTGGCACGGTCATGTTACCCTCCCTCATTGGAGAGTTCTGTGGGGGGTACCATCTCATGAGACAACTGCCCAGTTGCGCTGAAGGGACTCAGGGTTGGGCCCCTGGCCAGCTGGACCACCGCAGGACTGGCCACAGGAAGACGTCAGCCTACTCAAGGATGCCCATTTGCTTTCCTTTGTCCCCCACCCCTCCCAAAATTAGCCATGCTTCAGCTCCCTCCTGGCGCCTTCAGGAGCGGGCAGCTCAGTGGCCGCCATGGCATCGAGCTCCCCAGGCTGATGACACCACTCCACAGAGCCTGTCTTGAATCCTCCTGGCCTCTCTTCTCTGTCCTGGGTGGCAGCTTTCCCTCCCAGCTTGTCCCCTCCCCACGTTCTGATTTAGTCTCCGGAGCATTTGCGTGTAAGGAGTCAGCAAAAGCTCACGCCCAAGGAACTATAGCAAAAGAAGAAGGGATGCTCACTGTGATGTGTGCCTCGCTGTTAACCCAAAGGCTGAAGGTTCGAGTCCACACCAAGGAGCCTTGGAACAAAGGCCTGGTAACCTGCTTCTAAAAACCACGAGCCATTCACCATCACAGCTCAGTAAATGGCGAGTGCACAGGGTGGCTACACAGTATCAAGGGATCGCTCATACAGTGTAGTCCCGTGAGCCATGGTCTTCTTTCCTCCCTGCGCAGCTGTCTAGTTATCGAGCCGCTTTTGAATTAAAGACTCACGCTTCCTTAAATCAAAGCTTGGGAATCACATCCTCAGCCTCATAGTTAGGAAATCGTGCCCTTAGCTTTCGGCGGGGTTTCCTCCACCCTGCTGCCCACTTGTTATCCACCTGAGCGTCACTCCAAGGCCACTGGCGACACATTAGTCTGTGGTTAGCGATCCCACCTGCCTCCTTCCTGTCCTGACTGCCAGCTCCTCAGTGGGATCTCCTGCTTTTATCTTCCCATGATTCCTAGGGTAAGCATGCTGCTGAAGTGGAGGTTTAAAAACCGAGGCCCATTTAGACATGGAGACCATCGCCCTTGACTGTACTGTGTCCTGGACGTGCCTAACTTGTCTTTCAGGTAGTTTGTTTAAAACTCAGTGCACCTCTTGTGGAAACGTGGCCGAGAATTACAAGAGTCCAATTTGCCCAGCTTTATCGGGAAAAGGGTACGTATGCTGCATTGCATAATACATATATGTTGTTTTTCTCCTGAAAGTTGAACACAATTGTAAAGGAATTGAAAGTGAATCCAAGATGCCTGTGAATATCTATGAGAAATAAGACTAGATACAGTATAGTCATATGCTACACCAAAAAATCTGGCAGTTACTATGTTTAAAACTAAGGATATCAAACTATCCACCGCATAATCCTGACTTTGTATTCACACACACACACACACACACACACACACACACACACACACACACACGAACACGGATAAAAGAGTAGAAGAAAATACAACAAAATGTTACCAGGGGTTATTACAAGAGGCACGATTATGGATGATTTACAAAAGCATCATTGTCATTGCAATAAAAAATTGACTTTTTAAAGTGTACAATTCAATGCCAGTAATCACACTGAGCGTGTTATGGAAGGGTGCACTGGTGGCACAGTGAGTTATACATTGGGCTACTGACTGTGAGGTCAGCAGTTCGAAATCACCAGCATCTCTGAGGAGAAAGATGAGGCTTTCTACTCCGCTAACGAGTTACAGTCTCAGAAACTCACAAGAGCAGTTCTACCCTGTTCTAAAGAATCACAATGAGTCAGAATTGACTTTGGGTCTTTTTTGTTTGTTTTTTAATGTTATACAACCATCCTCTATATCTACCGTATTTTTACACAAATAATGTTTATATCATGTTTTTTCACAAAGTGAACCCCCATAGGCATTAATTTTCTGTGAGTGCAGTGCATGGTACATGCATGATATTTATGTGGGTGTGTTATTTGCAAAGATATGGTCTTCCATCCCCTCAAATAGATACTACACAAGTAATTTTTATTTCTTTATAAATTTTTATAAAGAAATGCTTATGAATTTTATATTTCTATCAACATGTATTACATAATTAAGGAAACATTTGAGTGTAAACTCTGAATATTGAGAATAATTTTACTTAGTAATTTTTAATTGCTATAGGATTATACAAGTAATACATTAATACCATCTCATTGCTAAAGATTCAAATTAAAATAAGGACTACCAGGATCCCTGGTGGCACAGCATTGCAGTAATTAGCTACTCGCTCAAATCAGCAGTTCAAAGCCACCAGCTGCTCCACAGAAGAAAGAAGAGGCAGGCTGCTTCCCTAAAGATGACTGCTTGGAAACTCTGGGGGGGCAGTTCCACTCTGTCCCACAGGTCTCTGGGAGTCAGAGTCGATTTAGCAGCAAGTGGCCTGGGTTAGATACAAGGCAAAACCTGAAACTCCTCCTAGCACATGGCGCCCCCCCCCTCCCAACCCCCATACAGTTTTCCTCCCTTGAGGTCAAACCACAGGGCCTAGTTGTTTGGGGTCCATCCTAGGACCCTTCTACGTGACACTGCAACACACCTGTGACTGTCGTTGGTTGGCCACTTAGTGACCCTACAGGGTGGAGCAGGGCCCTCCCTGGGGTTTCCGAGGCTGCAATCTTTACCGGAGTTGACAGCCTTTTTGGGAGCCGCGGATGGTTTCAACCCATCAACCTTTTGGTTAGTAGACCAGTAACTCTGGCACTACCAGGGACCCTCTTCCTAAAGGAAACCTAAACCACAACCAAACCCACCGCCACTGATTCCAGTCAAGCCCATAGTGACCCTCTAGGGCAGAGGGGAACTGCGCCCTAGGGTTTCATTCCCACAACAGGAAGCTGCTGTGTGTGAACCGCTGACCTTGTGGTTAGGAGCCCAAGGAGTCAGTAACTACACCCCCAGGGATCCTTGTTAGGTAGCATTTATTAGGAGTCTTGAACCACATCACTAAAACACAAACAGACAAACACTGCCGCTGAGGTGCTTCCAACTCCTAATGACCCTTGAACCATACAATCAAAACCAACCCACTGCCATCATGTCGACGCCAACTCATCGCGACCCCACGGGACAGGGTTGAACTGCCCCTGGGAGTTTCCAGGCTGTACGTCTTCCTGGGAGTAGAAAGCTTCGTTTTCCTTCCACAGAGCAGTCGGTGTTTTCAAACTGCTGACCTTGCTGTGAGCAGCCCGACGTAGAACTACTGTGCCGCTACGACGCCTTGGCCCATAAACTACCAGGCAAATAGGCAGACTGATTGGGTTATTTGATTTCTTTGACCTTTGTATGTACTGATGGCATGGTTTTATTTCCTCCCTCATATTTACTGCAGTGCAGCGGAACCTGAAACCGAAGATGCCAGCATCCCAGTGGAAAAGCTGCCCCGGTGCGTAAACGCTTTGACCTCTAACTGTTGTTTCAGATGCTAGGAGCCGCCTAAAAGTGTATTTGGAGAGAGACCCATTAAGGGAAATGCACAATGGGAAAAAAACGATGAGGCTAAGGCTTGGGGGGTCTTCAGCCCAGCCAGGTAGGAGAGCTGCTTTGTGGACAAAGGGGTAATTGGGGGCCTGGAAAGTTCTGAGGCTACCCTGCTGCAGTGGTTTCCCCAGTGTGCATGTGCAGCCGGCTGGCTTCCTGGAGCTCAGTGTCCCCCCCAGTGGGATGGAGATAGTGCCCTTAATGGGGTACCAGAACAGTGTCGCAGGGCAGCAAAAACATCTTACAGGACCAAACAGGGAGGGAGAGTTCAAGCAACCTAGAAATGACGTTTATGGCTGTCTTTCAAAACCAAATATTAAAAAGGGTACACCCAATACCGTTTCACGGAGCTCCAGTTTCATGTGCTGTTGATAGGTCTTACCTGCATTAAAAAAAGGTTATACAGGCCCCAAATCCAGAAACACTCGATTAAACTCAGAGCATTTACTATGTAAAATCCATTGTAACTCAGCAAGGGGGGCTGCATATGTTAGCCGAACCCTGCTCTCAGTCCCCACCCCTTTTTATTCTTAATAAGAACTTTCATTGCTACATTCTAAAGTTTCCATCCAAAAGGGCGTTCAGGGGTCTCTAAATAAGAGGTGACTGTGACAAAAGCAGTGCTGGGGAGATGACTTTAGCAAACGCTTGTCTTGGCCAACTCAGAGCTAGGGGAGAGTGGCCGGTGACCCTTAGCAGTCAGCACTCTTGAATGGGGGCTATAGGCAGGGGCAGAGAGCGGCGAATCAGAGAGAAAACAGAGGTGGCCCATGGGCACCCGAGAGAAAGGCTGTTGGGTGTTGAGGGCCGGTCCTGATGCAGTGTCCTCCCAGCTGTGCCGGCGACGCCGTCAATGGCGAGGTGGGATGGGAACGAGAGCACCATTAGCTCGACACCTGCGAGCTTAGCTGGAAGGCCTCTGTGAATGAAGTAACTGCGAGCACCCCCACCAGTGAGACGAGCTCCACAGGGACAGTTGACAGGAGTGCTTCTAAGCAGGCAGGCTCCTGGGGGCTGGGAGGGAGTGGCCGCGGAGCAAGGGGTGTGGACGTGACTTCTCTGGACAGATGGCTCTTGGGATCACTTGGGACTATTTTCTGGGCCACCTGGCCGAGCTTCGAGCTTCGGCCTGGGAAGGCTCAGGGCCTGTTTAATGATGACCCTCTTACAGATGTGAAGAGGCAGGGTGCCGGGGCCTGCTGCGGCCCCACGTGGTGTGGTTCGGAGAAAACCTGGATCCGGCTATACTGGATCAGGTGGAACGAGAGCTCGCCCACTGTGACTTATGCCTCGTGGTAGGTCCCGCTGCCCCTAATCCGCAGGATTGGGCTGGAGTTCGTTGTGGCTCCATCCCTGCCTCCCTCTCTCCATTTTCCCTTCCTAACTTCCTTCTCCACCCTCCTCCTCACCTTCCCTGTTGATAGCCTTCTTTCACTCTGTGTCTTACATGAACTCTAAGAAATCAGATGATTGCCCTTAAAAAAACGAACCGCACAAGATCGTGTACTTTCTCCCCGGGCTTCTCACAGCCTTTTAAAAATACACAATTTTAAATAAACGGTTAGTTTTCAAAGTGCGACCTTGTTAAACTACAGATTGTAGTTAGGTGCCAACGAGTGGGTTCCAACTCCAAGCAGCACCCTGGGCAGCAGAAAGAAAAATGCCCAGTCCTGGTCACCTCCACAACCACCGTGGGGCACCCACTGCGGCCGCCCACCCCCTCTAGGGCCCTCCTCTCCCCCGGCCCTCCATGTGGCTAAGGCCGGCGTCGACTGCTCTCTCCGGAAAACATACTGTTCAGACCCGAAATGCTTCTAAGGAGCATTCTGGCTGAACTTTGTCCTCTGGCCCCCATGGTACTGTCAGTATTTTTTTTACCAGCACCCTAGTTCAAGGACATCCATCTGTTTTGGTCTTCCTTACTCCGTGTCCAACTTCCACATGGTCTGATGGGACCGACAAGCCCATGGTTTGGGTCAGCTACACCTAAGTCCTGAAAGTGGCATCCTTGCTATTTAACATCTGAGAGAGGTCTTGTGCAGCCGTAGGAGTACCAATGGACCCGGCAGCAGGATTGTGGATGGCTGGTCTATTTTTTAACTTAAAAAAATGAGCTTAGGTTATTTGTAGAACTTTTAAAAAACAGGGAGAAAAACCCATGTACCCCCACAAATATGTTTCTGAAATCCTCTCTTGGCCACTGCGTCCCTCTGCAGAACCCTTCTGCACGTTCTTCTCCGCGGTTAGCGGTGTCTCAAGGACACCTCACTTCCCCTGGTCCTCTGGCCACACCTCGGCGGCCCACCCAGCCCGGCTGCCCTCCCACCGCCCACCGCAGACCCGAGTTCATGAAAGGTGTCCTAAACAGTGTTTCTGTTCCCCCATAGGGTGGTCCTTTGCTCATTTCTGTTTGTTTGCGTGGTAGGTGGGCACTTCCTCCGTGGTTTATCCCGCCGCCATGTTTGCCCCTCAAGTGTCTGCCAGGGGAGTGCCTGTGGCCGAATTTAACATGGAAACCACCCCCGCCACAGACAGATTCAGGTACGGTGCTACGAGGGATTGAGGGGTTGGGCCCTTTGGATACGATCACCTAAACAGATTTTCTTTCTTTTTTTCTTAATATATTTTATTCCAATCCTGCAGGACATTTGGATTATTTTCGGGGTTTTTTTGGTGGGCACTTTGTTTCTGTTTTTCTAGTACAAATCATACTGTATGAACATTGTTCCACAGTTTTGAGCGTTTACATACAATTCCTAAGAGGAGACCAGCTGAGGCTATATGTGCATTTAACTTCTTCTTCTTTTTTATTTTAAATCATTTTATTGGGGACTCCTACAACTCTTATCACAATCCGTACACCCATCCATTGTGTCAAGCGCATTTGAACATTTGTTGCCACCATCATTCTCAAAACATTTGC